ATAATGATAGTTGAAAAAAAGGTAAAGTGGGCTCAATGTTATAAAAATGAATTCATTACCATTAGCTCCTAAAAAATTCATGAAATTTTTTGATTTTTGATTGATCTGATTTTGATTCAGGCGTAGTTCAGACGTAATATATGAATCTACAACAAACAAATGTTCAATAATTTTCTTAAACAACTATAAGAAAATTCATATTGGAACGAACTGTATTGGATAATTGAGAGTTTGGTTATGGGTTATAGGTCAAATTTTTCGCCACTTATTTAGAAAATAGAATTCAAATAAAAATAAATGTTTTCTTACGTGCTGAATATATAGACAATTTAGATAACAGTGGAAACCAAAAAGATTTAAAATCCTATTATTGCTGTTAATTAACTGAATGAGAAAAAAGTAAAAAGAGTGGATGGAAAAAAGACATTTTGTATGGAGTACAATAAATTTTTTTAGAAAAACGCAAATACTTTAAAAGTATTTGGTGGAATGATAAGAATAATAATGTAACAAGGTTACAGGTAGGCTTGGAGAAAATGGCCACGAAGAAAGATATCGAAATGACATGCGAATATTCCAGGAAGAAATCGTAAAGTGGGGTGTTCAAGGAAAAGAATGTATGGAGAGAAAAGAAGCAAAGCAAAATTCCTTTTGAAAATTTCATTGTAGGGAGGGTAGCGTTCAACAATTCTGGTAACTTATCCTACTGGCTGTTAGTAAAGAAACCACATAACGATGACTCATTCAGTCAGATGGGTCGTCATTTGCGCTAGGATTCTAAGCAATTAATCTGAGCAGCAAGTATTTCGCTATCCTCTCGAAGTTAATCCATTATAAATGAACTCAAAGCAAAGTTAAAAATTACAGATCAACTAGGACGGAAAAATTAAATCTTACGAAAAATGAAATAAGAAACAGTTATAAACAGAAATGTTAGCACAAAAAAGATAAATTAATGCATAAACTTAAAGCACCTTTCTTTCAAAATGATGCTTTCACTAATGAAAAGTGTGAATTAAAGAGGGGCTATTTATAGCAAATGAAATTTCCAAAGGTCAATGTGATGCTCCGGTCACTGCAACTTTACAGGGCCATTTATCTTTCATTAAAATTTAAAATTCTCCTATAAATATAAGAACATAAACGGAATATTACATGATTTATGAACCATTTAATATTGAATCGTCAATCCATCTAAGAAGAAAATATGGTAGGATTTAGGTAACTCTAATATGTCGAGTGTAGTTTCATAAAAAGTAGTAATTGAAGTAAAAGATATGGTTAAGAGAATATAAAGGAGAAGTACGAAGAGAACCACAATTTCGCAATTTCTAAGCAAATTTTTTCGTTAATAAATTAACTAAAATTTACAAATTATTATACAAAAGATGACTTAAATAATACAACTCATATTTTATTCCTTTTATTTGTAGTATTTATTATTTTTATATCATTTGTGACTTTTACCATATAATATAAAAGTCTACAAGTTTTTAAGATGTTTGCCTACTTTCATTTCATAAAGCTTGCATATATCTAATTTCGTAAGATTCATAATAGCATTAAATTTATCAGTTGATTAATCTAGTTGGTCAAGCAGATCTTCCATTATTCCGGATGCAATCCTGATACAAAAGATATAAAATTATTCATTAATTGTGAAATCCATTTTGTTTATATATATATATATATATATATATACATTTGTTTCTTTTCAATTCCTTCCATGGTTATACCTGTAGATAATTTTGATATCGAAAATATTTCAACTGCAGCTATATGGGCGCGGATTTGTGTCTTCATGGTGATTTCGCGACAGCTCCATAAAGATTTTGTCAACCGGAAGGACACATTTCCAAATTCTATAAAGAAAACCATAAATTGCTTCTGCAAATTCGTATAATCGTAATCAATGACAGAAAACACATATAACACATAAAGTATTACTGAGCACCTTTGCCAAGCTTGAAACTTACTAATATATGAAGTTTATGCATGTATGTATGAAGATGGAGAAAATGAAGGAAATTTGCTGAATGAGATTTGCTATAAAACGAGCCATAAATGATGCTCGGATAAAATATTTTTACTATTATAAATCAATTCATTCATTTTACAAGCAGTTCAATGAAATTAAGGGGAGAAATTAATTATGATATTGCATATTTATTTCTCATTCAGTGCTCGTTTTTCGAAAATGAAGATTTTCGACAATATTTTGAAAAAATTCCGTCAAAATTCCTCAGAGCTGAATTTGTTTCTTTCTAAGACAGCCGTCCGTCCTTCCTCCTTTCTAGCACTCTGCACTACTGTAGGTTTTGACGACTCCACCGGCAAATAATAGGATATGCGTTTCAAAGAATATTTATGAAAAAAAAATGAATGAATGTTTAAATCAAATTCTATTCTGTTCATTTAAATATTTAAGCAATATTTCAACTTTTATTCAAAGCGCCTAATACGAATAATAAAAAAAAAATTAACAAAAAATTAAAAATCCCGAAAAGCTTTTATCCAGTAAAGAATAATTTAAATAATTGTAAAACAAAACATTTCTACGAAATGATTTTGCCTTTGCTTTTTGCTTTTTTTAGAAGAATCGAAATTAAAATTTCGTAGAATTATTGAAAATGATCAATTAACTTTTTTCATTGGAACTATTAATTATCGGAAGTAAGCGGCGAAGTGCTCTCAAATTTTTACGCCAAAGTTAACGGGAAATTTGACAGCATTATTCACGGTCAGCCACTCACCCAGCCCAGACCCACACACCCACAAATTGTAGTTTTTTGCGCTTTTCTTTCTTTTCTTTCTCTTTTACAGATCAAGAAATTTTTTTGCACGTTTGTGAGGTAAAAAATTCGAAATTATTGATGATTATTGAGAGAAAAAATTTGAATTTAAAAAAATTCTATTACTCGAATTCATTCTTCGATTCTATGGTGCAATAAAAAAATAATAAGTTAAACTAAGTCAAAACAAAAAAAACCATTGAAGAAGAAATTTAAATTGTTTTTTGTTGCGTCGAAAATGCATGGCACATATAATTTTTGAAGAAAAATTTATGGTATATAAGAAATTTTATATAAATAAAATGGAAGAGTTCAAAAAACTGCGCACATATTTCCTCAGTATTTTTGGCTGAATATTTTTTGATTCTCCTTATAAACATGAATAAATAAAAAGTACCGCAATAGAGAGAGCATTGTTTGAGGATTCTATTTCTATTCTATTTCTTATTACAACGTTTGTCCTTCGAACACTCACCACTTCCGGCTTAGTTGGTTTCACTGACGAATGAACTGAGACCTGGCCAACCATCGTACTTTAAAATTCAAGTATAATTAGGCCGTCAAGATCACTCAGAAAAATTATTTCTTCTAAGAGGCTTACAGTGAATCAAACTTAAAATATTAAATTAAAATCTTCAATCGAAGGATCACACTCATTCATTCTGTTCTCACTTTAATAATTTCTCAAATTGCTAATAATAAATGCAAAAAAATCAAAGAGATCCATCAAATTGGCACCAACAAATGTAATAAAAATTTAATAACCCATCAGCAAAAAATACTTTTTACAAATAGCACGAAGTAATTTAAAAGCATTACAAAAAAGCATTACATTTGATCCAATTTTAAGAATTTTATATTTTTTACTTAAAAAAAATTAAAATTTTAAAAATATTTACATCGAAGATTGTCTATCATAATTCATCAGTTCCAACCTGAAAAGAAATTTCTGATATTTTCTTAAGAAACAATGAAATACTTATAAGTCTCATTACTTGAACTGAATAAGTCAGGAAACTGATGAGAAATTATCAAATTTTTTAAATATAATAATGATGGATTCCAATCGCCTACGTTATATAGCGACTTGGTTTTCAGTCGTCTCTAACGACACTTCTGATTTCGCCTTTTCGTTAAAATGAACCGTTGGAATTCAAATTAGGTCATAAGCAGTCATCCAGATTTCATTTCAAGTTATTGGGATCAAGAAACAAGGATCGATTTCATATTTCAGAACAAAACTAGAAAATACACGAGCAAATTAGTCATTACTTATCATAAATTAGCGAATTATTGTTCGTAATTTTGTTAGTAGAAGAGCTCGAATTAGGGCTAAAAACAATATAGTGATATCGACGATTATATGGAATGAATGCGAATCACCCTTTGACCAGCAATTAACCCGCTAATACTTTTTGTGGGCTAAAAATCTTCAATGCTAGATCAATCCACTATTGAAACTTTTTCACGAAGTTAACGCGAAGTTGAACAGATAATCGGCTAATATTTTAGCACCTGAACTAAATGTGCTTAAAACCATCTTTACTAAGTTTTTTGCCATTTCAGCGATTTATTTATGAAATTATTTAAGGTTATGGAACTTCCCTATGACTCAAAAGCCGATTATTGAATTTGACCAAATAATCTCATTGCCAAAAGCGGTCAACTGCTTTTATCTCGTACCATTGATTTTATTTAAAATGTAAATATTAAAATATTGTCTGAACTTTCTCGGTAATTTCTAAATATACTTTAAGAAATTCGCAGCGATGGTACGAACCAATGAGATGCAAGTCGTTTTACCTACGATATTTTTCACCGCTGAATTTTCAATTCTGCATCTCAATAATTACAGCATTAACGAAAAATTATATGTTCCGTTAACAAACTTCGCCTTGGATCCATTCATCTTCTAGCAGATTTATTGCTCTCTTGGTACTATTATTCACTTTTCCTAAGAATGCTTATAAATTAGGAAAAGTCAAGCAATTCCAAAGTTTTAAGGATCTTAACAATCTTAACAGTATTCGAAACAACACAGCCACTAAAAATATAAATAGTGATTTACTGCAAAGAGTAGATCTTTTTAAACAATGAATTTTTTTTAAAATTTTATTTTATCAAAAAATTTTATCAAAATCTAAATTTTTCACAGAAAACAGCAACAATAATAAAACAAAATAAATAAGTTTGTTCAGCCGATCATCATCATAAATTCATTTTTGTGGCAATATTTTCCACATAATGAGATGCAAGTCGTTTTACCTAAAATAAAATAATCTACGAAATGAATATGAATGCAATAATAAACGACAACGTCATACAGATTTTTTAATCGAAAAGTCCGCGAAAATTTGTTTTATCAAAGTATCAAATATTTACCGAATTTTGTTGCCCTTCATCTCCAAATCTTTCTTCAATATCACTCCACTTTTTGTAAAATAACTTAATTTTATGAAAGGGAAGGTTCATTGACGTGACTCGAGTAAAAAGATTTCTTAAAAAAAATTAATTATTCAAGTCTGGAATGTTAAAATCCATAATACATAAAAATATGGAAAATTTATAACCTTGCTTCATCAATCAAACCAACTTTAACAACCATATCAATATACACGGTCCATATTTCAGTTTTTTTTGGATATGCGCTCAATATGCTTTCAAAAATAGTTTTTCCTTGTTCTGCGTCACCAACTTTATACTCCAGTTGAGCAAATCGACATAGTAATATAAGATCTGTAAACAGTCTTGTCCGTAATATCCATGGCATTATATCGCATATTTAGCTAAAAAGAATCAAAAAAACGCACGGTGCTTTTTAGGAATGGAAATGATTCCCTTTTTCAATAAATCGCGAGCTTTGCTAGCCCTTTTTGTTTCCATCAAATGTTGCATATATAAATGCCATATATCCAAATCCTCATGACGAAAACGCTTCAGCATTTCTTCGAATAAAATATCAGCCTCCTATGAGAGAAAGAAATAAAATAAAGGATAAGTTTCAGGAGCAATCTCGATACTTAAGCATTAAATAATATTTTAAATATTGTTTGAAAACTTTAGAATCGAAAGCCTAATTTAAAAAATTGTACAAAAAAATTTTACGGAACAAAAAACTGAAATTTGCCTTAAACGAAAAAAAATTTTTCAAAGGACAATGAACCTCGACATTGTTAACGCTCTGATATATTTTGGCCATCTGTTTATACATTTTTAATGCATCAGTATTCTTTATTGCTCTATCAAATACAGCCTTCAATGTTTCTATGTTACCATAAGAATTTTCTAAATTCAGATATGCTGTCCAAACGTTGAAAATTTCATCTTCTTCCCTTCAATAACAAATATAGGAAAACTCTGCGCAAAAAAACTGGAATATTTATCCGTAAAAAAAAACAACGTTAAAAAAAAACAAAGAAACCTAAAGTTAATAAGCTGTAGTGCTTTTTCTGCCACTGCACGCGCTTTTGTAATATCGTTTTTCTCCATGAAAAACGACATATACCTTAAAAAAACTCTTATTAACTAATCAAAGAATCAAGAAAAAAAAAACTCAAAACGAAATCAGTGATTTAAAAATTTGAAGATAAAGCCTAAGTTTATTACCTTATCCAAAGTTCAGAACAGTTAGGATTTCCGATAACCAATCGATCAAAATCGGAAGCTGAATCGGGAAGAAAATCGCCTTTAATCAAACGTTTTTCGCGGTTAGTCAATGCCTTTTCTTTCGCCATCTCAAATTCCTCTTTTGCTAAAAGATTTCGCCATAAAGACCACGCAACGCGAATAATGTGCATAAAAGTAGACGGAAAATTAAAAAATAAATCAAAAAAAAAACTTTTTGGAAGCTTGCTGAAATCTCCTTTTTCCTTCACAAGTTGTTCCCCCTCTATTTTCCCAGATGCACTGAATAAATTTGATGCTTTCTTGTTTAATGCTTCATTTTCCGCTAAATCTTCTGTACCGATTCGAGCAACTGCTACGAAATCCGCAGGCGTATATCCTTTTAATGACCAGTCAAAACCCGGATCAACCATCTAATATAACAAAAAATCAAAAATGTGGTTATGAATTATCGAATGAATTTTTTGCTTTTTTTAAAATTAGTACAAATATAACAGGCTAACTTCTTGAGAATTCAAGAAAATATAAGAAAATTTGATAACAAATAGTGAAATAACTTTAAAAAAGTTAATAATTAAATTTTTTCTAATTTCTAATTTATTGCTAATTTATTGAACGTATTGTAAATGATAAGAAATTTTTGATTTGCCACCGATAAAGATTATTTATTAGCTAATATTACGCATTTAATAGTAATAGTAATGGAAAGATAATAATACCAATTTTTTATTTTAAGAGTCTTCACCATTACTGGTTAAACTCGCTCCACTGGCTTGTCGCACTGGACAAATATGCCAGAAAATCCCTTGGCGATAGAAATACAGGTGAGTCAACATCACCCGGATTTTTGGACAGGTTTACTCCTGAGAATAATAATATTAAGTATACCTCAAAAAATCGTATTGTATTATTATGTTTCTTAATGCAAAGTAAAATTGCCTTTAACTGTGAAAAAGCAGCATTTTCATTAGATAGAGTACCATAGCCAGCGGCTCTTGATTTTTTCTCGGCTTCATTCAAACTGGATAAACTTGCTGCTCGTTTACGACCTAATCTCTTCACATTTTTAGTTTCGCCGTTAGATATCTGAAATTTTAATGTTATAGAAAAAGTCAATATAAGCAAGAAATAGATCAAAAAATACTGATTGATAGAACTTGAGAATGTGAAAAAAGAGATAAAAACTTCAAATAAAATGAGAAAGAAAATGAATCACGCTGAAGAATAAAAAATTTACCTCAGTAGTCTTCAGCGACTTTAAAAATAGAAGATTTAATGTGCCATTTTTGCGACTTTTTCCGGCTCTAACTTTTATTAATTCATGAACTTCAAAGTCGCCATTAGATCTGCCAAAAAAAAATTTGATTTAGAAATTATAAATGAACAGATCCCCTGTTTTTTCATTCATTTATTTTTAAATATCAGAGACTAACCTAATTCATAAGGTACGGCCCACATTAAACTATCGAAAAGCAAAAATTTCTATATTATCAACAAGATGATTCATTTAGGTTCGCGAATTTTCACTTACTTTTTTCCTCTGACCAAACCGATGATGCCAGGTCCAACTTCTGCATAAACTTTGCCATTCTTTATCATAGAAACGAAAGCATATATAATAGAATTTTCCTAAATTTCATATTTCAGAAAAATTACTGTTGATAAGCAACATTACTCAAAGATATGCATAGATATGCATAGATAACGATAACGATTATCGAATATAAGAAATCAATTACCGAGAGCTCTTCAGGGCTTTTAATTAATTTACTTCGAGAAAACAGCTTCGCGCATTTACTTGACTTGAATCGATCTTCTGTCACAGCTAACCAAACGCCAGTTTGATCATCAAAACGTAGCAAATAAATATAATTGACCTAAAATAAGAAGTATATAACAGAATATTTCATAAAAATTTCATATAATTTATTATAATTTATTGATGGTATAGAGTAAAAATTTTTACAAAGTTTTTAGCGGGATTTTCACAAAATGAATAGACTATTTTAAAACTTACTTCATTTAGCTGAAGCGACTGAAGACGCTTAAAAGCTTGTTTATATTCATTGCACATCCCTGTTGCAGTTAACATAGCCCTTTGAGCATTTGTAAGTTCGTACATTACAGACATTTGAGTTTTATTCAAATTTATGATTCTTCCAAGGACACGTTCTCCAGCTGCAATCTGAAAAGGATTTTCAAAGAATTTTGAACATAGCATGTAATAATGAACGACTGAATGAATCTCAATATAACATTTTTCGTTAACATTTTAACATTAACAACATACTTTTTCGCTTTCAGTTAATGAAAGTTCTAGGCATTTCTTGTGATGACGTTTCTGACTTGCATTCACTCCAATAATTTTTGCTTTTAACACTTGACCTGGTTGAAATTCAATATCTATGAGGGTTGAAGATGTTGCCTCAACAGGATTCACGATCTATAAGAAAAATATATCATAAAAGCATAAAAATAACTGGAAAAAATTCTGCTGATTATCTTCCTAATGCTTTTTTATAGAAATTTTTATAGAAGCTTCAAATCTTCATTATTCACTTGTTAAAAGCAGGTCAGCAAGAACAAAAAAAATTTTAAAACATTGCTTTATTTGCTCAAATATCAAAAAAAAATTAGAAATGTGAAAGAAATGTGAATAATGATAAAAATTAATAAGAAATATGAATAAATGAATTCGGTTCAGAATTCTCCACAGAAATAAAAAACAGCACCAAGTTTTCTTCACCCAAATTTTGTTTTCGAATTACTCCATCCCATATTGGAGAAGCCTCTACTCGTAAAACACCATCTTTTTGCCTGTATTTCACGAAAACAGCAATTGTTGATCCATGAACATAACTATGAGGATATCCTAGAACTGATTGCTTCTTCTTGCATTCACGTAATTTTGAAGCCAGAACTGTACATTCAGCTATGCGCAAAACCTCAAAAATGAAAAATTCAAACAAATAAACTGGAAAGTATTTATAAGTAAATATAAATATCTATATGTATAACAAGGTAAATAGTATTAATAATATAGTATTTAATAAATATAGAGATTATTTGGCATTATCATTTCGATCAAAATTTATGATGTTATGCGCAGATCAGCTTACAGGTCAAAAATGTTAGTTGGATGGGCTGTACAGTCCTATAATTTCTCTCGTTCATCCATACTCTCTTCAATCACCGTAAATATTTTCTCAATAATAACTCATTCCAAAAAAATAGCCACAGTGAAAAATGAAATAGTGGAACTAAAGAAAGGAAAAATTGAATCGATTTTCCTTTCCTCGACATTAGATATGGATATTAAATATAAAAATTAATTCAACGAAGAATTAGCTTTTTTCATGTTTCTAAAAAAAAGGAGCAATACAAAATAATAAAACCATAAATAAAAAAATAATAATAAACATACTTTTACCACCTTTCCCTGACCAGCTGGTGAGATGGATGAATATAGTTTACCTTTTCCTTTGCGTTGAACTTCCTTAATTTTGCTAATACCAATAACTTTAATATTAATTATTTTACCTTTGTGAAGGCGTAAAAATTCATCCGCAGGACGACAGCCCTCATCTAGAAGGCTTTCGTCAATTTCCGACGCATGAAGTCTTCCTGTAATTTCATTATAATTCATAAAATATGAAACATACAGATTTCACAAAATTGAAACTGAATTTAAAAAAAAATTGGATTTTTAGATATGAATTGAATTTATTGATGCCCACCTATATTTCCATCAGGCAATTCAAGTTCAATAGAATTAGGAGATAAATTACAGCCACGCTTCCACAGTGATAACACCTTTGCAGGGTAGATTAGAAAAGGCTTCATCTTTTTTTTTATCTTTTGATTCATCGCGCATTGTTGTTTATTCTTAAAATTTTAAAATGAAAATTATCTGGAGATGTAAATTGCTTTAATTTCGCATTGTTCAGTGGAAAATATCAATAAAAGAAAAAAACTTGAGAGTAGCAATAAAAAAAACAAAACTGGATAATGATTATGGAAAAAAACAGTCTGTTCATGCACATCATATTCTCCTAATCCGACATAGCAATTATCGACCCGTGATTTGATAATGACTGATATGCTTTCAAAGAGGGAAAAACGGCCTGTAAATACATCTAATGATGATATGGCTGGCAAAACGGTCTATAAATGTGACAATTTGGATAAAAAATTATATTTGGAAAAGTGAAATGAAATCTACCAACTTTTTTGTGGGACTATGTTCGGATGAAACCTATTCGGCAAATAGACAACATTTCCTGAATCCGTTACGGTTGCCACAAAATCTCTTGTTGTTAATACGACTTTAGACAAGACTTTCTCACCGATTTCCAAACCGCTTTTCTAAAAAAATGTTTAGAACATGTTCTATAGAAAAAAAATGTTTAAAAATATTCCTCAGTAATTGTTCAAATAAAATAATTGCCAAAATGAATTTTTTCTCGTTGCCCATTTAGAACATGAATAAATCAATGGTCCTTAAAGTTCAACCCCACAGCGGTTCCTGAAACGCTTTCGGAAGGGGGGACCCTGTATTCGAAACTGTTTTCATAGCATAAAACTAAAATTCAGTAATGTTAACATTTTTGCTTTTTCTTTCCCATCCGCTGAAGAGATTTGTAAAAAAAATTATTAAAAAAATAATATAACTGAGACCAAACAAACAAACTGAGGGTCTAAAAAAAAAAGATTTTTATAGAATTTAATGTTTTTTCTTGATGCTTATATTTAATCGTATTTAATCTAAGCTGTATCTAGCAACAACCGTTCTCATATTATTCTAATATCTGCATGATATTATAAATTCGAGCATACAACTAATTTACTTTCCTTGCTTTAAATGCATTTTTCAAAAGTTTAAAAATTCTCATTTAATTTATAAGTACATATAATTAATGTCATTTACGAATTTTACAAATATTTCAGAAGTTTAAGCTTGAATTTCCAAGGAATCAGTTATAATCCTTATATACGAAAGCTCTTTAAGAGTGAATTTTGACGAAAAAAGCACACCGCTAAAATAAAGAACAACAAAAAAATTACAGATTTTGCGGAGATGTTTGATTCCAACTGATCTGTTTTATTGAGGGCATACAAAAAAAGTTGACAGGATGGAAAAATGGTCCAGAGTACAACTACTGCTAAGCGCTGATTCTCCTGAAATATCGCAACGATTAATTCAAAAAATTTTTATTCAAGAAACTGCCCTCTTTTATTATATCATATATTATAAAATAAATCTCAAAATATAGAAATATTTAATGCAGACACCACATAATCCCCTGAAGGGAAATTGCTATTTTTCACAACACCGGTAATTCCTTCATAACCAAGAACATTCACAATCAATCCATCTTCTGATGTGGCAGCAACAAACGCTTCCATTCGGCTACCCAAATTTGGTAATTGAACACCCTTTCCATTATTAGCAGCGAACCATTGTAATTCCGAGATAGCGCTTTGTAACAAAGCAACTCCAAAATAAGTTACATCAGTTTCATCCGCAGGAAAACACATAGACGCCTGAATCAATAAATAAACATCAAAACGCTGAATGAATCTTAATATTTGTTTCAGTTTGAACAAATCAGTCAAAATTAAATTTGAACTCACATCCATAATTAATGAAAATCTTTTTTTTTCGGAATTAATCGAAGATACCATTCCAACAACTGTCTGACCAATAAAAAGTTCGTTGACAGCGTTATCTTAAGAAATATTAGAGTAACACAACAAAAGCATATCTATTATATAATCAAAACTGCTTAATATGTGGAAAAAAAATATTATAAAAATGAGAGAAAATTTGCAACTAAATCAATAAGAACATTTTCAATGCAAATTTACCGTCGTTTCCACGCAAGAAATGAGCGGGAGCAGATAATGCGGCTCCACCAACAACTTCGACAAGATAACCCAAATCAGAATGATATTGAGTAACGATACCACATATTAACTGGCCTTTAATCAATTCTTCAAAGTTCTTAATATTACCGTGGCGTTCCAAATATTCCACAACAAATCTTTTGGCCGTCACCTATAACTCGTTTTCGGAAACAATGAACATTTTTTTATGAAAATTTAATATAGAAACTTTTATAATTCTGCTATAAAATGAACAACAACCATAAAAATACCTTAACCAATCCATTCAATTCTCCCAATATTGTAACTTTCCGTATTTTTGAATTGGTTCGTAAACAGCCATCAAGTTCATCAAAAGGAGGATCCAAATTATCACTGAGTAAATCTGATGGCAACGAAGTTTCTAAATATCGGCCCTGAAAATGGGTGACTGATATCCCTGTTATACCGGACGCAACAATATAAGAATATTAGAATATCAAACAATAAAATCACTTGAATTTAACTGAAACTGAAAGTCAAAAAATAGAATTGCATGTCACAAAAATTACCTCTTTTCTTCCTAAATTTATAACGATATCCAATCTCTCACGCTTCTGTAACCCAAGTTTAAATCTTGCTGAACCTTTTATTACCGCTGGATATGTTAACGAACTTTCTTCCAAGGACGAAAATGGCTTTAAAAATAAAATTTCTAAATGATGAATCAATTATGCATAATTTCTTTTCGTTTAAAATTGATTGGAAAAAGGATCGATCAGAGATTGGAAAGATAATATGTATCAAAATGAACTGAGGGTATCTTCGCAAATCATTCGAAAAGAGGCGAAATAAATATTAATTTCGAAAATAATTAAAAATGAATAAATAATTAATAACTCTGAATTTCACGATAGAATTTTTCGATGAGAGAAATGGATCTGCGAGAGTCACAAGCATTCGACATCTTTCAGGCTCCACGCTTTGTATCCGTACTTGCAATGTTGAACCGATCCTGAAAACCATTTTGAAACAGAAAAGATTAATTTAAAAATGAAAAATAAAATCAGTTTCTTTGCTATATCAATCAAGCAGGAAAACAAGTATTTAAAATTAGGGAAACATGAGAAAAAAGAACTTGACGCTACTACTTAATCGAGCAGCTTCTTTGGATAGCATAAGCGCTCGGACATCACCATAAAAATTGACCAGAATTCCACCACTAGAAAGAATTGAAGAGATATATCCTGTTGTGATTAAACCAATGTCATCCAACGAATATTTGTTGATAATTCGATCTTTGCTATTTAATAAAGAAGGTTTTCTGGTCAAAATAATTCGTTTTTTCAAAAGATTAACTTTCAATATTCGACAATCTATTTTTTGACCTGCAAAAAGCCTGGAATATCATTTTTGTGAACTATTACCGTCGCTATTTTCAGATACCAAGGCTGATAAATGCCTGGTAATGATGCGAATGAATGATAAAACTTCTAAACTGTCACTTTTATATGAAATTAATAGAAAACAAACCCACAAAAAAGTTTTTACTGATTCGATGTGACATCCTGTCCGACGTTTGACATGCAGGTATAAAACCAGATATATTACCATAAATCTTAACAAAAAGGCCGACTGGTTTTATTTCACTAATAGTAGCTTGCACTTTCTGACCAGGAACAGCATCCTGAACTATGATAACTTTGGGTTGAACTGAATATGCCAAAATATGCCTTAATATTGAGTTTTTCAACACATTTTTTAAAAAAATAACCACCAAATGCCAAATATAACCTTCACTGAAACCATTTTTTGAGCAAGAATCTCCTTTTTTGTCGCGACAATTAAAACCCTTTCAAAGATACGATATGACAACACGCGAGTATTGTGAATCGAACCGACTGCATAGCTAACTAAATATTTTAAATAGCATTAAAAAAAAATTTAAACACGAAAATTTATATCGGCTTATAACATTTGATATAGGGACACTTCATTTAAATTTTGAAATGTGCAGAATTTTACTTACAATCAAAAGGAAATTAAAAATATCAAAAATTTGCAGAAAAAGAAAAAAGGTATCAAAAGAGAAAGCCTTGCTGCTACAGAAATAATTAAAATAAAAATGTTACCAGGTTCCAACTTTTTTTTCGGACAAAAGGCGCTAATGGCATGACTTCTTGGGTTCTCATCCATAACAATTTCAAAATGAACGTTCCCCGACCGATCAATACGACGTACCTTGCAAGAAAGCTCATCGCCAATTTCAAAATTCTTTAATGTTTAATTCATTTTATTTATAAAAGAATTTAAGTCATTCACTTATTTTAGATATAACTGATAATGATTAAAGGTTATGTAAAAAAAAAAACTAGCAAATATAGAAATGTTAACAAGTAAATATAGAAATAACTGAAATCAACGATAATTTAGCATCAGTATAATAACAAAATCAGAAAACAAAAAAAACTGAATAAAATCTATAAAACAAAGAAAACAAACCGCAAAACTGATCCTTCTACGAGCATTACTAACTGCAATAATATCTGGGTGGGCATTAAGCATAAGGATATTGCTATTCTGTTGACACAATGTAACCACAACACGAAGTTCTTTTGAGAACTTTGAAAGATCATATTTTAGATTAGGAGGCAAATGACGAGCGCCAATAAATGCTTTCAAACCTATTATAAATTCAAATGATGGTTAACTGATAGTTACAGCAAAAAGAAAATAATTTTTTGAGAGAAAAATCATCTGAAAAAATAAGAGAAAGAAAAATTGTTGCTAAAACCTCAAAAAAAAATCAAATCTCAAAATCATATCTAATTTTAACGACTAAAAAAATCTCACCATTGCCTATTTCAACAAAGGCTCCATCAGAAACAATTTTGAGAGGACTGGCATAAAGCATCATACCCGGCATCAGGTGATTAAATTGCAGTTTATCTATAGAAGAATTTAAAATTTCTGCTTCAGGCATAGCTGATAACTGGATTACTCGTTTTTCCTATGAAAAAATAGAAATTTTTCCGATAGCGAAGGAAATTAAGAAATTTGGAACAAATGCCATTTTTATTATTAGTAAAAAATTAAGATTACTCAAAAAAGATTCAAAAATGCACAATAAATATTCAAAAAATCATACAGATGATTTTCTAGAATCTTTCTCTATACGAACGAGTAAAACTTGTCCAGGTAGAAACGATTCAATATCTATTGCCGAAGGTATCATCGAAATAGGTAAAAAACCATTCATATGAGATGATCTTAGGCCAAGATTCATAATAACTCCTGCAAAAATTTTTTATGAATAAATATATATTATTTCAAAAGAAAAAAGAAAAAAATCTACAAAAGTAAATCAGAAATTAGATAATAAAAATTAAAAAATTATTAATAAGAATTAAAACTTATAAGAAGAGATATTAACCTTTATCTTCTGTGCTTTCGACTGATGCATTCATAACAAGCCCATCAAACAACTGACTAGGCACAATATGAGAGTTAACAATGCAAGGATCAACGCTTACCACAGGATTGCGGAATTTTTTCTTCATATGTTTTCTTTCTAAACATATTGAATCAAGAACTTTGCAATAGAAGAGGAGATGAAAAGAAGTTAAATATTAAAACAAAAAATAACTAATTTAAAATGAAAAAAAATTTTATCAATTTGGATTGATAAAATTGACATTTGGATGAAGATAATTTAATATTTAATAATTTAATATTTAAAAATATTTAACTGGAAACGATCATCCAAGTGCAAAAAAATTACCTATTGGTGTAGCTTCTTTAACAACTTTAAAAGATAGTATTTGACCAATGGTGATGATATCACAAAGCATTAATGAAGAATTTTTTAATAAATCCACTGATTTTTCGCTTATATTAGTGGCAGGCAATGTAACAGTTACACCATCTACCGTTTCTAGTTCAATATAGAGTTCATTAATCTGAAAACTATATTCCTAAATTCTATTTTGAGGCATCACTAATACATGGGATCTTTTTCCGCAATACTCCAAATAACTACAATGCAGATGTAATAAAAAATAAAAAAAATACTTGTCTGACACAACCTAATCCAAGGACACCTTCTTTCAAAAACTGTTTCATATTTTTTCTTCGCCATATTCCATTAAATTCTATATTTCTTTTATATCGTTCATCATTAATTTCTGTTGAATTTTTTGATCTCCACTGAAAAAAAAATACAATCCAATATTGTAATTTATTTTATAATTTATTCAATACTTGAATAATAATTTGTTTGTTTAATCTAATCTAATACATAATTTACATAATTTTATATTTTATTTTAATTATTTGATGATTTTAATTCTTTGTAATAGTACTCGTCGTTTATAGGAATTTCAAATCAATAAATTACAAAATTTAAGGAAAAAAAAGTAGAAATGAACTTTTCGGTGAAATCCTTTTCCACTCTCCGTCGTATTTTTTGTAGTATCATTCGAACCTCTCGGAAAGTCGATTTCCATCACTGCTTCAGATTTTATTCTTATTTTCTGAAATACACATCGCTAAAAAAAAGAAAATGATAAAAAAAGAAAATGATGCGATTGTTGAACAAAAACATTATCTCTAGTAATTTCCTTAACAATAAGCTTCAAATTATAAGTCCAAGTTGAAAAAGAACAAAAGTTAAATAAGAATTTGAATTTGCATCAGATGAAGAAAAATCAAAATTAAAACGATGTGCACCAAAAAATGTAAAAAAAGACGAAATAATTTCAGTTACTGATATCTCTCTTTCAGACACCTGAAATGAGACCAAACGGGACCAACATTCCCCCTCCCCTCACCGCAAAACTCCCACAGGAAATTCCACCAACCATACCAAACCTCATCAATTTTTCAGTCCCTTTCAATTTCAAATAGAAATTCAAATAATTGGCTAATAGCCAAACTTACTGTAGCATACAATCATCTTAGAACCTTAGAACTATTTAAAAATTGAAAAGTTAGCCAAACGCTTGAGTAGGGGACTGTGTTAACTATTTGCTGCAGGATTGGAGATGAGTAAAGCTGAAATGAAAAGATGCGATGAATTTTTTGTTCCATTTAAGGAATGGATATTTCGGCAATTTCGGGCACCAAGACCACTATGATGCAAGCAAATGACTTATTGCTGAAGGAGCGAGCGATGGCGCACTTGTCGCCGAATCCGAATACTCTTGCGCAGTTCTGCTTAGCACCAGTGCTAAGCGGTTCTTTGGCTCTGAATAGCTGAAAGGAGTTTGTTCAGTGCAATATTTGGCTCATTCACGGATGAATGTGGCGAGCTCTTCCTGAAGTTCGCTTCTTCAACAAAAAATAAAATACCATAGAGTTGTCGTCGTCGTTATAAGAAATATTTTAAATAGCCAATGGAACTTCATCCAACGAACTTTGCATTCTTAGCGTTAATTTTGGAATCGTTTGAGCAGAAAAAGCATTCTTTAATGGAAATTAAATTTGATAAAATTTTATAAATTCTTATAAATTACTTATAGAAAAATTAAAAGTACCATGACAGAGCAGAATAAATTATTTAAATCTATAAATTTCGCATATTTCTTTCGGATTTAATTGTCAAACTTTGATATTTGTAACGCTTTTTTTTCAGCAATTGAAGAAAAATGAAACAAAGAAAAGCACACTAATTGTTCGCATTTTGCAGCATCGTCCGCTTTGGTGGCAATTTTTTGAACAAAGCAGAAGAGACGTTCAGCACAATCGTTTCAATGATAAAAAGAACTGATAATGGATAATATAAAATTTTATAAAAGAAAGCAATGCATGAAATTGGAGAATAAAAATAATGGATAAGGCCAGAATGAATCGAGGATAAAATTATGCCAAATAATATTACTCTATTAAATTATTTTACAAGTGTATAATGATCGAGCAAATATTAGATTTGAAGATTAATTAAATTATTAATGCTTCGAGTAAAAAAAATTCGAGGCACCACTTTTGACTGGTAAATAGGTTTCTGAAACCCAATGCCTTTCGCATAATTCCGATTAAATGGGAGGTTATAGTAGTCGAAATTATATAAAATTATAGGACCAGATTTTTAAATATAAGTGCAGATTCTGTTTAATTCTCCTTATTATTAACGAAACTGTACAATTTCTGAGTTTTGTAGCACAATTAATTGCAGGATCATAATTTAGACAATAAAAAATATTGCTTTCAGCTAGTTTGATTGACATATTTTGCCCAGGAGAGGTGCAAATAAAGCCGTATTGCAGAGATGGACGAACAAAAATTTTATAGTTCAAGAAGAAAAGCATCGATTTTATTTTAAAAGTCTTAAATAATTGAAGATTTCATTTTCACAGACGATTTTCCAATTATCCTTCTACTATGGAAATTAAATTTAAGATTACCATTGATTATCATATCAAATCGATTAGCTTGCGATACTAGTGACTAGTGACATTTCAAGTGCAGAAAGGTATTTTTATCTCAATTAAGATAACAATGTAACAATACTGTCGCGAAATGCGATCTTTCTATCATTTTAAATTTATTATTTCAGAATCTCCGATCCGCCAAATAAAGCCTTTCATTTATTCATTAATTCCTTATCTTTACGTATGTTATTTAAGAATAGAGGTCAATTCATAAGTATATAAAGGATAACACTTTTCAAGAAAAGTGTTCTTTTTGGTGCTATCAAGGGACCCGAGTGGTTGGGTCCCAATATTTCAATATTCAATTTACTTTATTAGTTTGCATGCTTTATATTGTTTAATCATTCCTTATTTATTTTGCGGTATCCTTTTAGTTTCCGGATTTAATTTGTGTAAATATTGTTTTTCGTATAACTATATATTAATTGATAATATTAATTACCCAATTTTGAGGTGACGGAATAAGGATCTTTATTAATACGTGTGGTAATCAGTGTTCATACTACTGTCCTGAGAAAGCAGTCAGATCAAGATTATTCTAATTTAACTAACGCGAGCATCCCACTGCTTCCAATCAGTAATTTTATTAATTTATTCTTTACAAATACAACCTAAAAAAATGAATGCGAACAACCATTTTTTTTGGAAAATCAGCAGAAGAGTAGGAAATTGCGGATGGAATTTTTCAGACTATATATTACTTAAGGCAAAAAAGAGTCAGAAAAGGCGAAAATTCTGTGAGAAGCCCCATCCTCGACTTGGAGAGGTATAATGTCAGTCAATTACTGAGGATGTTCCACTAATTAAGCACCTCTTCTATAAAATATGGTAAAATCTTTAGTGTTTACTAAGGGCTTAAAGGCTTCTGATTAGTGAGGTCTTCAGCCCATATCCGCCATATCTGAAATCAGGTGATGCCACCCATTTTTCCATTATTTAATGATTTATGCTCGCTTAATGGTAACTATTCACATTTTAAATATCACTTTCCACGTCACAAGTAATGAATGAAATATGCATCAATTTCTGCCAATGAATTGTCTAAACTGCGTAGGCGACGTTCAGGTACCATCGATGCACAGCCATATTAGCCATTTGAAAATTAACTATGAAAAAGTCCAATTTCAGAAAATATTTTTCTAAAATATAGATAAAAATAAATATCATAAAATGTAACTTGATGTAATCCTTATGAGAAATTTAATAGGCGATTAAATTTTTTAATATTAAAAGCGAAAACTGTGGAAAGAAAACTTTTTCATTAACATAAAAAATGAGATCGTCAAGTGAAAATGATTTTGTTTCGGCCAGTTAATTTCAGAATAATGATTCCTCGTTTGGCTGACAACAATATATTTTACTGTCCGAATGGTGCTATGAACCACCTTCAATTTCCAAGTAGAAGTGCTATGAACCACCTTCAATTTCCAAGTAGAAGTGCTATGAACCACCTTCAATTTCCAAGTAGAATCTGTAACTGTCGGGAATAAAAGAAAAAAAAATAACAAAAAATTATTTCTTATTATTGCATTAGATAAAAATTTCGATTTTGTTTCGATTTTGACGTTTGCAAACCGTTTGCATTTTTTTAAATGAAATTGGTCTTCACATCTAAAAATTGTATTTTCCTAAATTTCTCGCAAAACTTCTTGTTCCATTCATGAACTGAACTATACAATAATAACAAATTCATATTGCCATCAAGCAAAAAAAAAACGGCTGTGATAGGTGCTCAGTGCCAAGAATTTTTTTAGAAATTTAATTCTTCCATTTTCTGGCCTTCGTCCTGTTGGATTTATTGTTTAATTTTTCTACCAATTTCGAATTTTATAGTTCTATCAATTAAAAATAAATATTTTATACTTTTTAATATTATTAAATTGCAAATTTGCGCTTAATTTTTGCAAAAAATTGGTACATATTTATGCCAACTTACAATGGCTTATTTTTGAGTTTTTTGGCTTTGAACTATATTTACGGTGCATATTTATTCAAGGAAAAAATTGGTAAAAATGATTTATGCACGCGGATAATATAAAATGGTATATTTTAAGCGGAAAATGGAACTTATTTTTGCAAAAAAGGCAAATGTTTAAATCCGTTTTAAGTGGGAAGTGGAAATGTTTTATATTTTTGTGCATTTAATCAATGGAAAACTTGTTATCGATCATGGATTCTTATTATTATATCTATGCAATATTTAGTGGATTTGGTGGCTGTTTCTTTTAAGCCAAATAATAACCACTATACAACATAGGAAAAATTTGTTATATAACAGCAGTGGTTCAGCAATTCCGGCAGATAAACATCGAGAGGTATAAAATTTTCATTAAAATGCCACCGAAAATCAGAAAAATTACTTCATTTTCGCCAATAATTTTGAATTCTTTCCTTTCCGATTGATAATCATTAAATTTTTTGCAAATAGGAAAAAAGAAAAATTAAATTAGATAAATATTAGCTCAGAAATATTTAACGAGGTATGATTTCACCTACAATATTTTATTTGGTTATGTTAGTTTCAATTGTACCAATGTCATTATCAGCTGTGCTTGAATGTTAATGCATCCAGAATTTTCAGAGAATGCTTTTTAATTATTTTCATTTTACCTTCGCTAACAGAAATACGCTACTTTGAATTTTTTCAAAATTCTCCGTTTTTATTTTCTTTATTTTTTAAATTGGCTCACAAGT